TCACTTCTAACAAATGTGTAATGTTCCCTACTTCACACTTGTCAAGGTCAGGGTTCGCAGAAGTTATTAATTTGCCCAAAATGTTACAGCTCCCTTGTTTGGAACATTTCCACTGATGCTTAAATCTCAGTTTGAACAGAAATAAACATAAGACAAGCAGATAAGGGCCAAACTTCACTTCTCAGGGTGTATTATTATATTTTAGCACTGACATTTCAAACTGTCATCCGGTTGTGCTGTTTCTGTCTAAACAATAAAAAATAAAAACATTTAACTAAGTGTTCCATATGTACTACAAACGGAAAACTTGCAAAGCTCCTCAAAGCGAACCATTTCTGTGTTTAAAATTTCTCCTAAACTTTGAGTTGTCTTTGGAAAAGCAGCACATAGTTGCTGCCATCAGGAATGCCAATTTTTCATGCCCTAATTTTACCCAGGGAGATCAAATGACGAGCCCAGGCACACAAAACTGACATGAGTTCACCTAATTTAGGAAAGGCTTCGGGGGTGATTGACATAATAAGGCAAACCTTCCAAGGAGCTGTGGCCACAGATGGAGCCTAAGATGTAAGAACTCCTTGAAAGAAACTTACTATCTCAAGATCTAGGGCTTTTTCATCTTTGTAATGCAGGCAGACACGGGGCAACACTATTGATATGAAACACTATTATTTTTCACCAAGAGCTATATAGTTGTTGATGCAAGGGCTTGCTCAGGAATGTATGCAAGATACTGCCTTCTGGCATTGAGCATCCATAGCCACCCACAGTATCTAAAGGCCTGGAAGTCTAAAACCTGCGTTGACCAGACTCCCTTGACGCTAGTCTTCCAGATGTGATACAGGTTCTGCCAACTGTATATACTCATAGGAGATACGGAAAGTGGGAAGGAGATAGAGGCCATTCTTTTCCATGTTCTTTGGGCATAAAAATCGGGCTCAGCTGGCATGATGCTGCTGAATTTCATAGTCACTGTGGCAGTTTCCTGGCTGCATTGTGGTCATGTTGGCATATGACCTTGAAGTCAGCCTAGAGACAGCCTCCTGATTCAGATCCCTCTAACCCTTCCAATAGTTCCATAATCAACCAATTCCTTATATGAAATTCCTTTCTGCTTGAAATTCCTAAAGAGTTTCCTTCTAGGGAACACAATGGAAAGCATATCTACAGTGCCACTATGAGTTGTCAGCAAAAATGAGACTTAAAAAGCCAAATACATGGATCTGAAGTTCTAGAGATGGATGGGCATTCCCTCCTTATTTTCTGTGGTATTTTTTTTTTAGCTAAAGACGATGCAGGGCTTATGTAGGATGGGTGCAGAATGGCTCCAACTGACCACTGTTCTCTGCACGGGTTTAGCGGACCTGGGTACCATGCGAACCCTGAGCACAATTCAGTCATCCCGAACAGGGACACCTGGGACCACAAGTGATACGATATGCTCATGGGAAGCTCTTTCCAGTGTTGGGTATTTCTCATCACCACAATATATGAATCTGTTTTCTGGAGTTGAGTATTTACCATCGTGATTCTATTCATTGTATCTCCAAGCAAATTCTCAACTCTGGCGGTACATTAATATCACTCAGGGTCCTTTAAAAATCAATTGAGCATAATTCACGGAACACTTTCATAGTGAACAGAGAAAGCCCAGTAGAAAGGCATGTAGAATGTTCTAGTGACAACTGAAATACTCATAAACATTCAAAGAAGGGGGACAGCAGCGTGGCTTGGAGTTGTCCAGAAAGGGATGATAAGGGAGGAGTGACAGGCTGAACTCGGAGCAGTGAATGGAATTCGCACAGATGAAAGAAAAGAAAGGAGGAATCCAGGCAATAGAACTAGCCCCACAAGGTAGGAACAAAGCAGATGTGAGCATGTCATGTGATGCTGACAGTTGAGAGTCAACTGGCACGAGAGGAGCAGGAAGGCTGGAAAGTGGGAGGCAGGGCACAGATTTGGTTAAGAAAAGGTGGGTCAGATTATAGAGGGCCTCAGAAGCCAAGCAGAGGAGCCTAAACTAGTGGCACCATGGCACTGGAAGGTCAGTGGAAGGGATGGCCTTGGTCTTCTGTCAAGATGACCGATGGTGCCGTCTTTGGGAAACTGGTATTCCTGAATTGAAAAGTATCTGAGCTTGCTAATGGAAGCTGAGCTCTGGACCGAGGGAATCTCTTGTCTGGGAGTGGGGAAAGATGGGACAGTAACTTGGAGTTTAAGCGGCCTCACAATTGTGTATCAGTCGTTACTGATTGTCACAAGATCCGCAGGAAACAGGAAGAATATGTTGGGAAAGCTTAGTCTTTTTTCACCGTATGACCTCACGTTAGTTTAGCTGACGCGTGTCGGGAACACCCTCAGTGCTCCACCTGGATCCCTTGTGATCCCTTTTGCCATGGCCATGCAGCCTCCTCCAGTTACTGGGACCTTTGTTCCTAATACCTGCACCTGTGAATCTCTTTGGAGGTCACCGCCCAGACAGCTGGAGCTGGAGCTTTATTCTACACTGTAGAGTGCCAGAGATTGATGTTCCCCGGACACCCTGCTCCCCCTTTTCCCGGCAGCCCTGGACCAATGACTGACAGATGCCAGAATATGAAAGCCTAGCTTCTTTCCTCCCAGGTGAGACAAAATCTGGAGCATAGCTTATACCCCAGATCTCCCCTGCAGGATCAGACTGAAGCCAACTTTTGGGGGAAGTTTGCCCAAGATTGCAAGCTTTCGTGGCATCCTGTCTGCCCTGCCCTGCTTCTTCCACTCCCTGACCAGCCTTCCCTAGGAGCACATCCCTAACATACCGTGTATACGGGAATCTTTGCCTCGGGGTCTTTTCCAAAGGACCCAACCCAGGACAGCACACTACCATTTGCAAAGTGTTCTTACACAGGCCACATTGGCTGTTACTCATTGTGGGCTTTTATGGTCCTTTCTTCCACCTCAGATTGTTTTTAAGATTTTATGTATTTATTTGAGAGAGACAGAGCACGAGCGGGGGGAGGGGCAGAGGGAGAGGGAGAAGTAGACTCCCCACTGAGCAAGGAGCTGGATGTGGGACTTGACCCCAGGACCCCGAGGTCATGACCTGAGCCAAAGGCAGACGCTTAACCGACTGAGCCACCCAGGTGCCCCCACATCAGATCTTTAATGGATAATTTTTAAAAACAAGTACCAGGATGAAGCTGAGAATCTGTCCAACAAGTCAAAGCAGTTACTCTCCATTTTGATCAAATCTGAAGTTGTGAATCAGTACATCAGATTCAAGCCTTAAATCTGATATTATTGGATGCAAAAAAGGACTACTCTTATAAGAATCACAGCTTAGCAAAGACTTCTCCGTTCATATCTCATTCCTGGCTTTAGTACAAATGATTTGTCTTACGCTCCAGAACCAATTGCACTGCTGTAATAGTTCAGAATCTTGACCGCAGTTCTCTATTAGTAGAACAATTTTTTTTGCAGATTCAGTTGATCCATCACCTAGTTTCATATGCCGTCCTAAAAACTGTCTCCTCCATTTTTAATCGACTCAAAAACATTGTATAAATCATTTTCTTTTTGTTACACTAGACAAAATTGTCTATATTTTCTTTCACAACCATATGCAAACACACACACACACACACACACACATTCTTTTCTTAACAGAAGTCTCTTGTTGAATAATACTATACTTCACACTGAAGTACCTAGCCTAGTGCCTGGCTGTAACCGGAAATGTATTTTTTTGATCTTGCATTATTAGCAACACTGCTTTTCTCTCTGCTTCTCATTTGCAATTACACACTCAATGACTAGGGCAGGGAAAATACTGCCTTCTTTAGGAGGAGCCTGGAATGCATTGGGAATCCCTCTTGGACGGAAGAAGGAGTCCACTCCTTCTGCCCTGGGGAGGATGGGTGGAAGAAGAAGGAGGCCAAGAGGAAGGAAAGCGTGAGAGCGTGTGCCTTGGCCTCCCTGCTCCGGGTTGAATCCTGCAGTGGGGAGGTCTCTTACATGGTCTGCGAAGTTGAAAGTGCAGTGGTTTGGGGGGTGCACTGCTAACTGGGAACTCCTGAGATGGCAGGCATGACAGGAGGAAAGACACTTAATAGAATGGTGCTGACGTGACATGGCTGTGTTAGCCCCCATTTCCCATATGTGGAATGAATCTTTAAGTTTCTGGTCACACTCCCCAGGGAAGGACCAGAATAAAGCTGAGAATCTACGGGGGAACTTGCCATGGAAGGTGCCTGTGGAGGAGAAAGTAGCTTAGCATCTGAGGGCTACAGGGAAGGCCACACAGGGAACGGCTGGACAGAGGAGTGAGTCAAACCTTGAAGGGTGCGCAAAGCCAGAGAGAATCAAGGTGGAGCTCAGGAAGGAGGAGCGATGGCTGACTGTAACGAGAAGACAGACCACAAGATCTGTAAGCCATAGACTTGAGCCGCGGATGTCAAAGGGCAGCCCGGGCCAGAAGCACAGCAAGAAGGGTAAGCAGGAAGATGGCCTTCATGGGGAGCTGAAATTGAATTGACTGACTATTCCATAATATGAACTGAATCCTGCAAAACAGATTATTAAACCAGAAGAGACAGAAAGTCTGTTAGCTTTTTGTATCCGTTATCTATGGCCACGCATAATTTTCTATTGCGGCTGCGATAAACCATCAAAAAGTTATGGCTTAAACAGTGCAAACTTACCTTACAGTTCTGGAAGTCACAAGTCCGACACAGGTCTCACTGGGCTAAAATCAAGGTGGCAGCTGGGCTACATTCCTTTCTAGAGGCTCTAGGAGAGAATCCATTTCCTTGCCTTTTCTGGATTCTAGAGGCCGCCCCTATTCCTTGGTCCATGGCCCCCCTTCCTCCTTCAAAGTCCGCATCTCTCTGACAGTTCTGCCAGAGTCACATCTCCCACTGACTGACTGGGAAAGACCTTTTAAGGCCTCACGGGATTAAATTGGGCCCACCCAGATCATCCGGAATAACATCTACATCTCAAGATCCCTAACATAATCGTACCTGCAAAGTCTCCTTGATCGTGTAAAGTAACATATTCACAGGTTCCAGGCATTAGCATCAACATCTTCAGGCAGCCATTTTTCTGCCTGGCGCAGGCCAACATGAGGCAGAGACCTCAGCGGGCAAGCATAAACACTCAAGGCCCCTCAAGGCCTCGGCTCAGAATGACCCTACGGCCACTCCCACCTCATTTCATTAGCCTGGTCCAGAGTCAGAGTAAGAGGTGCCACAGAGTTGCATGGCAAAGAGCCTGCATCCAGGAAGAAGAAATACAGCCATTTCTGCCACCCTACCCCATCTCACACCCCCACCCCATACCACTTCCTCCCAGGAAGCCAAAGAGAGGTGCTAAAAGCCAACTCTGGCCACTCTCTGCTTGCATGTCACTAAACTGAAGCTGTGTGGTTAAGACACAGAGCTACAATGAATATTAGTTAAATAGGATTTATTTTAATTCTGCGGTGAACAGGACGGTGATTACAGGAGCTTATCGGAGCTGAAGAAAATATGAAGTAAATGAGAATAACACGGCCAGATCATCTTGGTTTATTTGGCCACTTTTGTTAAAGTGATCGTGTTTTCTGCTTAACTGTCGTCACAATTTTGTGGCTTCCCAGCTGGGTCTTCACCATTTATAAAGGTAGCATTTCCTACATATCTACAAATTCAAAAATAAGAGAATCTGCCTAGGCAAGTCCCGGACTTAGGGGAAAAAGCAAAATAAAATACTAGCAGAAACATAAATATAGCTATTTGGTAAGTAGTGAAAATCCAAACATTTTTACCAAGCTGTATTTTTCAAGTCCTGTTTTGATCAGTTTGTCTTTTTATTTCATAACAGAGCTGCTTTATGTGAGCATATGTATTCATTTCTGAAAGAAAACTTTGAAAGTTGTGTAACAAAGAAACTTTTTAAGATTATATTAATTTTCTCCTGAAATATACTCGTTTGGAACAATGAGCCCAGATGTTTTTTTTCCTAAAGAGATCAAGGCAAGTTCAGAGGCAGACATCACGTGCATCTATCTGAAAGCAAATTTTGATTCTTTGACTGTAATGCAGCAGGTCATGCCAACCGCATGCCCATGACTGCAGTCAGTCATTTTAGCTCTCCTTGCAACTGATCATCAGGCGATGCTTTTCTCAGTCCCTCCCTGTTCCTGCATTTTCAGATCCTTTCACTGCATCCACTCCTGGGGGTGTCATCACACATCCCCGCCTCACTCCTGATCCTGAGCTGCTCATGACACAGGCATCCTCTGATGGATTCTATCGGTTCCGGGGAGGACAGAGTGCCCCTGAGCTGCCTGCATTGTGAAGAGTCCTGTACGGCAGGGCTGATCCCAGGCATCGGGCGAGCCCTCTAGAGTCCCAGCTTCCCATGCACCTCTCCCATAGCAAGTCATGCCATTGCATTACAAATAGAGCAGGAGCCAATGTGCAAAAGCTGGCCCCCGTACGTGCCCCTTCCAAGTTCTCTCCTTTGACCCTCTTCATGCACTCTTTTCCACCACACTGACCTTTCTGTCTCGGGGCTTTTGCACGGGCTGTCCCCTCTGCCTGAAATCCTTATTAATTCAGTTCACAAATATGCCTTAGATGTGTCAGGCACTATTCTATTTTGTGTGAACTAAACATCTGGAGACCCCTGCCCGAATGAAGTATATACTCTCTTTCTCAGGATGTTTTATGGCTGCTTTCTGAGTCTTCTCCAGTTTTTTAGCTAAAGAATTTGCACACTTTAGTCACCCAAGGCCATGACTCCCCACTTTTCCCTTCATTCTTACTATGCGTCACATTATTTGTTTATTGCCAGGCTCGTCATTTTAGAATGTGATCTCCATAACCGTCTTGCTCTCGACTGGTGCCAGGAGCTCTACAGGCAGTTGGAGAGAGAGAGGAGGTGCACAGCATGGTTCACTAGGCTCTGTAATTGGTGCATCAGAGCTCAACCTCTGCTCAGATGGATTTTTACTGGAATGCATCTATGGGAATAAATTTTCATTTATTATAGTTGGCCATGGAAATTATGCCTAGCAGTAGTAGAACTATATGATTAATGTCCTACAGTCAATTTTAGAGATGGTTGTTCTAAAGCTTGTTTACTGGGGCGCCTGGGTGGCTCGGTCAGTTAAGCAGCCAACTCTTGATTTCGGCTCAGGTCATGATCTGAGGGTCCTGGGATGGAGCCCTGCATCTAGCCTCGCGCTCAGTGGGGAGTCTGCTGGAGATTCTCCCTCTCCCTCTGCCCCTTTCCCCCTGTTGGCGTTTTCTCTCTCTCTAATAAATAAATAAATCTTTTTAAAAATAAAGTAAAACTTGTTTACTTTTGAACATAACAAAGTGATTCTGGGTAAGATGAAAAAAATCCAGATCTTACAAAATATTTTAGAAAGCTGTGATTGTCTATTGCCGAGACATACAGTATTAAAATGCCGAGTCATCTCAGCAGGAATGGGCAACCCTTGTTGCAGTTAAGGTTAGGGACAAGGACATTGATACTCAAAAAGACCAGAGGTGATGAGTTCTTGAGGTTATGGGTAAGCTTCCCTGGCCTTGTGGAGCGAAGGTACAATAAATACCACCTTGATGGCATCTCCTTTCTCTCCCTCCCACTTCGCTTAGCTGGTGGGGTGGCACAGGTGTAGAATTCAGCTCCCTCAGGAAGCAGCATGAAAGCCAGGAATGGCACTTCTCGAACACAGATAAGCTGTCGTTCTTGAAGGTTTAAAGGAAGACTGATCCCATTCCCAGTGCATGGCAGATGCTGGAATGCCTTCAGATCTAGATAATTCTTTGGGTACATGGAGACTTCCTCTTTCCCAACTGCACCCAAAGAAGCTTCCGGTATAGCAGCGGCAGTGTGTGCTGGGTCTTATCTTCAAAGCAGAGGGGGTCTGCATCCAACTGCTTGACTCTCAGCAACACCATGAGACAAAAAACAGCAGCCCTGGAAGAGCCTGGGACCCTTGGGCCAAAGCAACAATAATAACAAAAGGTTCCCATTGCTCTTTGTTCAAGGTAATAGAACTGAGGCCGTTGGACCAAAAAAAACAATACTAAAGCTCGTAGAATTATCATGAAAATGGATTCATATGAATGGAAGAAACACACTCTGGCAAATAGGAGGTATCAAGGCTAGAAGTCGATTAGTACAAATAAAAAAATCACGAGAAATACTCTTGTTTTGGGTCACCTGGGTGGCGCAGTTGGTTAAGCATCTGACTCTTGGTTTGGGCTCAGGTCATGATCTCAGGGTCATGAGATCGAACCCCAAGTCTGGGGTCTACACTCAGTGGGAGTCTGCTTAAGACTTTCTCTCCCTGTGCCCCTACCCCCCGACACACACACACACACACACGCACGCACGCACTCTCTCTCTCTCTCTCTCTCTCAAATAAATAAATCTTTGATTAAAAAAAGGAAAGGAAATACATTATCGGTTTCATAAATATTTAAAGCACAGTTTTGAAATGAACCTGTATTTCCCTTGAAGTAGGATTGTACCCATATAAAGGACACTCTTAAAAACACTTCACTGTATCGAAAGTCTCAGTGAATTTTTTAGAATCAAGTCTGGAAGTCCCATTGACATTGAAAAACTGACTGTTAATCTGCTTTGTCTCTGTAAGAGATTAAAACTTTTTTCTTACACAAGTCTGAAGGTTATGCATTAAAGAATATATAGATGGAAAATAGATTAGTGGTTGCCAGGGGTGAGGGATGCAGATGGGGGTGGGTATGCCTCTAAGTGAGTAGCACAAGGAAACTCCTTTGTGGTCATGGAACGGTTCTATATCCTGATGGTGGTGGTGCTTACATGAACCTACACATGTGATAAAATTGCATAGAACTACACACACACATACATACACACATGTGCATGCAAATGCATGCACACAAACTGGCAAAATCTGAGTAATATCTGTAGATTGTACTAATGCCAATCTCCTGGTTTTCATATTACACCATAAGGCACAGAAGATGTTACTGTTCTGAGAAGCTAGATGAAGGGCACACAGGACTTCTCTGTACCATTTTTCAACTTCCTGGGACTCTTTGTTTCAAAATTATGTTTTCAAAAAGTTAAAGGGAGTGTGATTTTCACAGGCTGGAGTAAGAACTTCCTCACTCAGAATTTGATGAGCAACAGCCAAAAAGAGGCCTAATGAGCCACATATGTCCCGTCTCATGTGTGTCTCACACAGACATGGCCAACCATGTGGTAATTCAGAATTCCGGGGTCTGAAAATGAAGAACAATATCCCTCTTGCCCAAAAAAGTGTTTTTATTTAAAATTGTGGGGTCAAAATCCTATTTTTTATGTCTGCCTTAAGTTGGGTTCCCCCAAAGCTGACCCTGACACAAGGATGTAAATGCACATAGTTTGTATGAAACATCATCCCAGGAAGCACCAGTGGGGAATTAGAGGAAGGGAGGAAGCCAATTAAGCGTTCATTATAGGGGCGCCTGGGTGGCTCAGTGGGTTAAGCTTCTGCCTTCGGCTCAGGTCATGATCCCGGGGTCCTGGGATCCAGCCCCGCATCAGGCTCTCTGCTCGGTGGGGAGTCTGCTTCGCCCTCTGCCGCTCCCTCTGCTCATGCTCTTTCTCTCTCTCTGTCTCAAATAAATAAATAAAATGTTTTTTTTTAAGTACATTATAGAGCAAGTTCCCACTATAAGACACTGAAGCCCAGTCCCCCTGGGGAACTCTGTGAGATAGTTTACACCTCTCAGAGTTATGTAAAATGAGGGAAGTGGGAGATGGGATATTTTTTGTGTCATTCACTGAGAGCTGCATCAACTCCCCAGAACTCCCAGCCTGCTCTCCTGGTTGACAGAGAAGGTCCTCAGGAAAAAGGGCATGCAGACTTGCAGTTGGAAACTTTTGAGTCCATGGGAATGGCAAGTGCCTGGCAGGTATGGGCACCTCACCAATAGTGGCTTTACAGTGACTTATCAAAAATACCGAAAGGATGATAAAGTGAGTCAAAACATGACCTCTCAAATTATGATATCAACTATGGATAAAGGTTAAGTGACTTGTCTGAGATTAAATCATGTAACCGCTAAGGCATAGGACCTGTCTTTTCTTACTGGTTGCTTGAGAAAGTATCTCATTGTCTTTCATGTCCTGGAGTTTTGCAATGATATGTCCAAGTGTGCTT